TTATGTCCTAGAAGCACCGCTAGGTGACGCACCCGTCCCACAGAACCAAGACGTTATGAACGCTTGGCAGTCACGTGCTGATGATTACTCCCTCGTTCAATGCAGCATGCTTTACAGCTTAGAACCAGGGCTCCAAAAGCGTTTTGAGAGACACGGAGCATATGAGATGTTCGAAGAGCTAAAAATGGTTTTTCAAGCTCATGCCCGGGTCGAGAGATATGAAGTCTCCGACAAGTTCTTCAGCAGTAAGATGGAGGAAAATAGTTCTGTCAGTGAGCACATACTCAAAATGTCTGGGTTGCATAACCGCTTGACTCAGCTGGGAGTTAATCTCCCGGATGACGTGGTCATTGACAGAATCCTTCAGTCGCTTCCACCGAGCTACAAGAGCTTTGTGATGAACTTCAATATGCAGGGGATGGAAAAGACCATTCCTGAGGTATATTCAATGCTGAAATCAGCAGAGGTAGAAGTCAAAAAGGAACATCAAGTGTTGATGGTGAATAAAACCACTAAGTTTAAGAAAGGCAAGGGTAAGAAGAACTTCAAGAAGGACGGAAATGGAGTTGCCGCGCCCGGTAAGCAAGCTGCCGGGAAGAAGCCAAAGAATGGACCCATGCCCGAGACTGAGTGTTTTTATTGCAAGGGAAGTGGTCACTAGAAGCGGAACTGCCCCAAATACTTAGCGGACAAGAAGGCCGGCAACACGAAAGGTATATGTGATATACATGTAATAGATGTGTACCTTACCAGTACTTGTAGTAGCTCCTGGGTATTTGATACCGGTGCGGTTGCTCACATTTGTAACTCAAAGCAGGAGTTGCGGAATAAGCGGAGACTGGCGAAGGACGAGGTGACGATGCGCGTCGGGAATGGTTCCAAGGTCGATGTGATCGCCGTCGGCACGCTACCTCTACATTTACCTACGGGGTTAGTTTTAAACCTCAATAATTGTTATTTAGTGCCAGCTTTGAGCATGAACATTGTATCAGGATCTCGTTTAATTCGAGATGGCTACTCATTTAAATCCAAGAAAAATGGTTGTTCTATTTATATGAGAGATATGTTTTATGGTCATGCTCCGATGGTGAATGGTTTATTCTTAGAGATAGTGGGAGACTATTGGAAATATGCCCTAGAGGCAATAATAAAATGGTTATTATTATATTTCTTTGTTCATGATAATTGTCTATTGTTCATGCTATAATTGTGTTATCCGGAAATCATAATACATGTGTGAATACATAGACCACAACACGTCCCTAGTGAGCCTCTAGTTGACTAGCTCGTTGATCAAAAGATGGTCATGGTTTCCTGACTATGGACATTAGATGTCATTGATAACGGGATCACATCATTAGGAGAATGATGTGATGGACAAGACCCAATCCTAAGCATAGCTCAAAGATCGTGTAGTTCGTTTGTTGTAGCTTTTCTAAATGTCAAGTGTCATTTCCTTAGACCATGAGATTATGCAACTCCCGGACACCGTAGGAGTGCCTTGGGTGTGCCAAACGTCACAACGTAACTGGGTGACTATAAAGGTACATTACAGGTATCTCCAAAAGTGTCTGTTGGGTTGGCACGAATCGAGACTAGGATTTGTCACTCCGTATGACGGAGAGGTATCTCTGGGCCCACTCGGTAATGCATCATCATAATGAGATCAATGTGATCAAGTGGTTGATCACGGGATCATGCATTACGGTACGAGTAAAGTGACTTGCCGGTAACGAGACTGAACAAGGTATTGGGATACCGACGATCGAGTCTCGGGCAAGTAACGTACTGATTGACAAAGGGAACTGTATACGGATTGATTGAATCCTCGACATCATGGTTCATACGATGAGATCATCGTGGAGCATGTGGGAGCCAACAAGGGTATCCAGATCCCGCTGTTGGTTATTGACCGGAGAGTCGTCTCGGTCATGTCTGCATGTCTCCCGAACCCGTAGGGTCTACACACTTAAGGTTCGGTGACGCTAGGGTTGTTAGGAAGACTTGTATGTGATTACCGAATGCTGTTCGGAGTCCCGGATGAGATCCCGGACATCACGAGGAGTTCCGGAATGGTCCGGAGGTGAAGATTTATATGTAGGAAGTTGTCATACAGTCACCGGAAAGGTTCGGGGGCATATCGGTATTGTACCGGGGCCACCAGAGGGGTTCCAGGGGTCCACCGGGAGGGGCCATCTCTCTCGGAGGGCCTAATGGGCTGTAGAGGAAAGGGGAACCAGCCCTACATGGGCTGGCCACATCCCCCCCTTGGGCCCATGCGCCTAGGGTTGGGGAGGAAACCCTAAAGGGGGCGCCCCCCTTGCTTGGGGGGCAAGCCCCCTCCCCTTGGCCGCCCCCCCTCTAGATCTCATCTAGAGGGGGGGGCTTCCTCCTTCCCCTATAAATAGAGGGGAAAGGGGAGGGCTGCACACAACATCAAAGGCGCAGCCCCTCCCCTCCCCTACACCTCTCCTCCTCCGTAAGAGCTTGGCGAAGCCCTGCCGAAGTACTGCAGCTTCACCACCACCATGCCGTCGTGCTGCTGTTGGAGCCCTCTTCCTCAACCTCTCCCTCCTCCTTGCTGGATCAAGGCGCGGGAGACGTCCTTGCTCCATACGTGTGTTGAACGTGGAGGTGTCGTCCGTTCGACGCTAGGATCTTCGGTGATTTGGATCACGACGAGTACGACTCCATCAACCCAATTCTCTTGAACGCTTCTGCTCGTGATCTACAAGGGTATGTAGATGCACTCCTCTCTCCCTCGTTGCTAGATGACTCCATAGACAGATCTTGGTGATGCGTAGAAAATTTTAAAATTCTGCTATGTTCCCCAACAAAGACACACCCAAAACTTCCTACACATGCATTTCTGCAGAAAGTAAAAGGGTAGAGATGGAAGATTGATCAAACGTAATGAAGACACAGTAGTTTTTGGTGTGGTTCCGATAGGTGGTGCTATCGTACGTCTATGTTGATGGAGACTTGAACCCACGGAGGGTAACGGCTGCGCGAGTCCATGGAGGGATCCACCCATGAAGGGTCCACAAAGAAGCAACATTGTCTATTCCACTATGGCTTACGTCCACGAAGGACTAGCCTCACTCGGGGTAGATCTGCACGAAATAGGCGATCTCGTTGCTCTTACAAACTCCTTGTTTCAGCTCCATAATATCTCGGAGGCTCCCAAGTGACACCTAACCAATCTAGGATACACCACTCTCCAAAAGGTATGTCGATGATGAACTCATTGCTCTTGTGTTTCAAATGATAGTCTCCTCAACACTCAATCACTCTCTCGCAGATTTGGCTTGGGTAGGACAAGGATTGGAGTGGAAAGCAACTCAAGGAGGCTAGAAATCAAGGTTCAAATGGTTGGATTGGAATCTCTTGATCTCAACACATGAGTAGGTGGTTCTCTCTCTCAGAAAACGAATGGTGGAAGTGCAAATTCGTTCTGATGGCTCTCTTAGAGAGTAGGTGAGGGTGAAGGGGTATATACAGCCTTCACCCAAAATCCAACCGTCTCACATTTTTGACTCAATCCGGTGACACCGGTCCAAAAACTCGGTGCGACCGACCTGTGTAAAATATATGAACGTTGGGCTTTTCGGTGGGACCGAAGTGGAAATCTCGGACAGAATGAAATATGATAACCTAGGCAGGACTTTGTTTTGGTAGTTCTGATCAGTTCAACTTGGTGATTCCGAAGTGAACGAATTGGCTTACAGAAACTTGGTCACAACAACTAGGTGAGACTGATCGCAATCTCGGTGAGACCAAAATTCTAGGGTTTGGCTCTGGCAGTGTATAGGATCAACTCGGTGGGTCCGGGACAGATGTTTTCGGTGGGACCGAGATGAAACTTTTTGGGTTTGGACATATGTGAAGTGAAGAAACTGTTTGAGGGTTTTGGAGCAATATCATCAAGCACTTGAGCAATTGAGTCATGATCAAAACCTCATCTCCTTAAAATAGTATTGGTTTTCCTATGAACTCAATGTGATCTCATATCACTGAACCAAAAATGTATAGTCTTGAAGCTTTTCCAATTTCATGCCCTTAGCATTTTGAAGGGGTCAACATCCTCATGTCCTTGCCATGCCGAAGTTGAACTTTTCTGAAATACACTAGATAAAAGTATTAGTCCAACAATATTTATGTTGACATGAATTACCAAAAACCACCAAGGAAGCAAGTGTGCTTTCGGATACCATGTTGAAATAAAGAACGTGGACCAATTAGTATCTCGAGTCATAATTATTGGATTCGAGGTGTGTGGTATTTGGCATCCCCTTATCTAGAACTTTGGCTTTTCTTTCTCTCTCCCAAGGTGACTTGAGAAAGCCTTCCACCCCTCGATCTCCGCCGTCGAGCACGTGGATTTGCTTCCCCCTCCCCCCGTTTGCCGCTCCAGCAGCCAGTGGCGGGGAGAAGAATCCTGGTGTCTTGACTCCTACTAGTAGATAGGTAGGGTTTTAGTGCTCACATGGGCGTCGTTTGGATGGATGATGGTGCTCCTTCTTTGAGTCGGTCTTTCGGGTTCCGATCCTCCTTAATTTCGTCCGTTGGGATGGATCTCTGACGTAGATTCCTGCCAGCTCCTTGGGGCGGCAAGGTTAGGGTTTCTCGCCGTGCATACGCAATGGCGATATTTGATGTTAGGTTCTTCACATCAATTTAAGGATTCAACATCGACGACTGCAACTTCAGGGCGCTGGTGCTTAGAGGCACGTGCACAAAGACTTCCGGACTGTCCTCGACAAGGTCAGACCGACTCCAGTATGGGAGCAGCGACAGCGGCGCGTCGGCAGTAATGGTCGCTCGGTGGCCCATAGACCCCAATTTAGTTTTTATTATGCTTGATGTGATTTGTATCGATGAATCTTTATAATAAATCTGATCCTTTTAGAAAAAAAATATGTGTGTGGTATTTTATGCTCTCGTTTCAGTGCACAGATTTTTCGGGGTATCTTGGCGTCGGTGGACCGACCCGGTTGTTTATGGATAGCTGCCTTCTAACCGAAAATAGTCGGCGGGGGTATCTTGGCCAATCCGCACCAACCGGCACACACGGAGAGAGCGAGAGAGCAGAGCAGAGTGCGCGCAGAAGAAACTCGAGAAAGCATTTAAGAAGCGAGACCCCGCAGCAGATCGAACGGAAGTTGTCACCCAGCTCCACCAACTTCTTCCAGGCCAGCCAGCTCAGCTCTCCCACACACACTCGCTGTCAGATCCCGAGAATGGCGGTCGCCGCTCAGCCGCTGCTGGCCTCCGCGCTCCTCGCGCTCCTCCTCGCCGCCGTCTCCGCTGCCGATACTAAGAGTACGTCTCTTACCGTCTCAATCTCACCCCTTGCACGATCGGTTCTGTGTTGCTGTCGCCTGCTGCATTTCCTTAATTTCTGCTTTTCCTACTGAGGGTGCACTCCGGTTGCCGACCAGGTGTTTGGATCTGAGCTCTAGCTTCAGCTGTCCTGCGGCGCACGCAGGCTCCGGCCTTGAGGTCTTCGTTCGGGTCGTCGAGCTCGTCGAACGCCATATCAGGGTCGGCATGGATCTCGAGCCCGGCCATCTGTTTCTGTTTGTTAGATATAGAATGACATGTTGGTGACAGTCTACTAATTGTTCTTGAAATCCAACTACTAGAAGCCTTTGTGAATTCAGAGTGTGTGGAAATCCAACGACACAACTGTTAATCCTTGTTATGTAACTCATCTACACATCACTTATAATACACTAACAAAAATGCGGAAATGTTGCTTAATTAGCGTCCTGGCAAAAAAAACATGGTTTCATTATGTTTTCCCTAGAAAATAAATTGCTCTTTAGTGTGCTCAGCACATCTATCAATCATTTTTACAAACTGTAGAACACCCAGGATTTTCTGCTGCTGTTTTTAGAATCCAGATCTGGTCATGTAATTTTTTTAAGGCTAAACGTAGTTCCCCGTCAGATCGTTATGTTTTGTCTTGTTTGTGAACATGCAAAAGCTTTGCATGTTGATGTATCAGAATAAGAAATGTGCAACCAAACAGTAGGTCTCCGGCAACCAACAACATCCCAACCATCACAAATGACGATGTCTGTGGAACCTATTGGCTATCCCCAAATCAGCCATATCGTTGATCCTGTCATTGTAGCTCTGTACTTCTCAGCTTATCTTGTAATCTACGTGTATTCTGCTCCCTCCTGATATGCAAACAGAGTCTGTGCCTTCCCTTTGGGCATTTGGCCTTGGGTGTACTGGCCTGATTTTGAAATGATCAAGTAACATTGCGAAGGCCGCTGATTGTTAATGATTCTTTATAGTGCTTGTATTCCTAGCGTGTACCTATTTGTGTCCGCATACTGTGAACTAGCTCTGATTTTTAGTTGCTTATCTATCATTTTTGTCCTGCAGAAGGTAGTTGCTTTACTATAGAGAACTAATAATCCAATCTAAGTAAAAATCTCTGAAATTAGCTTAAGGCCCAAGCTACAAGATACTATATTGCTAACTTAGATGAGAAAGTTTCAAATCGAGAGGTCACATCCAACCTTTCCCAAACTTGGTGCTGGGTTGGTCATGTATTGTACGTAGATAACACACACCACCTCTTGCACAACTGAATGCTGGAATTTGTAGTATTCCTCAAATGACATCCTTGAATTATCTCATTTACAGATAACCCTGCCGATGAGCTTGTGAGCTTGATCAACTCCAACCGTACCGCCAGCAAGGCATCAAATCTTGCTGACAATCAAGGTCTTGGATGCATTGCTCTGCAGTACATAAAAGCATATAAGGGTCAGTGCGACCAGGTGGGTGGAAACAAGAAGCCTGTGGATTCCAGTTTCATTGACACATTTGCCCCAAATTGTGGTGTCCAAGCTGCAAGCCTTGCCAAGATCACTGGGAGGCTCCTGGCGTGCCAGCCAAGCTACCCGCCTCCAGCGCAGGCCTTCGACATGCTCATTGCTGATGAGAGGAGCCTCCAGGTACTGCATAGCAAGAACCACACAGAGGTGGGGGCGGCTGTCACCGGCACTTCTGGCGGCGGCCCGTATTTCTGGTGTGTCTTGTTCAGCAATGGGAAGGCCAACTCGAGCTTCACGGTAGAAGGGGGAGTTCCCAAGACTGCACATCCTGGATGCTTCAGCGGCAACAATGACGAGTGCAGTGGTGCCATTTCGACCGGTGTGGGTGCATGGACACTGGTGTCGGCCACTCTTTTTGCTCTGGCTGGCGCCTTTACTTTGTGAGCTTGTGCAGAGATGCATCGGCGCACCGTTCTTTTGCCAATTTTCAGATCTGGTAGAGCACACTAGTTGCAGTGTCTCTACTTTACCACAATTCTTTTGCTCCTTTTTAGCAGGTGATTTCTGTAAGGACTAAAAGGATTATGGTTTTCAACATTTGTGACGAGTTTACCTGTGCAGGTTGTTAATGCATTTGGTGTAACCGTTGGAGTTTCGCAGTATTTTTTATAGGAAGGCCATCATGCCTAGCTTAACTTTACCCAAATGATAAGTGACACACGTGTGGCATGAAGTAACACCGACCTGACGTTTTTATAACTAAAATTGCCATTAAAAAAACCAAAAAACCGAGACTTGCCATCCAAACAGAAAGTTGGTATGCTTCACAATTAAAGTTGCCATTTCCGAATAACTAAATTTGCCATCCAAAAATGTCAGGGCGGTATTGCTTCGTGTCAGATACTTATCAGGGTCCTTTTACCCAAATGATAACTTAAACAAAACTTACACCGTCCACAGATTAGCAAATAAGCAGCTAGGGGATCATTGTCCCAATTATAACGTCGGAGCTAAATCCGGCAATCTCTCGGTAGGGTATCCTAGCTAGGCGATTAGGCTGGATGGTAACACGAGGCAAGACTTTACCTAGGTTCGGGCCTTCACGGTCGAGATAATTGAAGGAAATATGCCCTAAAGTCAATAATAAAGTTGTTATTTATATTTCCTTATATCATGATAAATGTTTATTATTCGTGCTAGAATTGTATTAACCGAAAACTTAGTACATGTGTGAATACATAGACAAACAGAGTGTCACTAGTTTGCCTCTACTTGACTAGCTAGTTGATCAATCATGGTTATGTTTCCTAACCATAGACATGAGTTGTCATTTGATTAACGGGATCACATCACTAGAGAATGATATGATTGACTTGACCCATCCGTTAGCTTAGCACGATGATCATTTAGTTTGTTGCTATTGCTTTCTCCATAACTTATACATGTTCGTATGACTATGAGATCATACAACTCCCGAATAGCAGAGGAACACTTTATGTGCTACCAAACGTCACAACGTAACTGGGTGATTATAAAGGTGCTCTACAGGTGTCTCCGATCGTGTTTGTTGAGTTGGCATAGATTGAGATTAGGATTTGTCACTCCGATTGTCGGAGAGGTATCTCTGGGCCCGCACATCACTATAAGCTTTGCAAGCAATGTGACTAATGAGTTAGTTGCGGGATGATGCATTACGGAACGAGTAAAGAGACTTGCCGGTAACGAGATTGAACTAGGTATTGAGATACCGATGATCGAATCTCGGGCAAGTAACATACCAATGACAAAGGGAACAACGTATGTTGTTATGCGGTTTGGCCGATAAAGATCTTCGTAGAATATGTAGGAGCCAATATGAGCATCCAGGTTCCGCTATTGGTTATTGACCGGAGACATGTCTCGGTCATGTTTACATAGTTCTCGAACCCGTAGGGTCCGCACGCTTAAGGTTCGGTGACGAGCGGTATTATGAGTTTATGTGTTTTGATATACCGAAGATAGTTCGGAGTCCCGGATGTGATCATGGACATGACGAGGAGTCCCGAAATGGTCGAGACATAAAGATTGATATATTGGACGGCTATATTCAGACACCGGAAGTGTTCCGGATGATTTCGGAGAAAACCGGAGTACCGGAGGGTTACCGGAACCCCCTGGAGAACTAATGGGCCACATGGGCCTTAGTGGAGAGAGAGAGGGCCAGCCAGGGCAGGCCGCGCGCCCCCTCCCCCTCTGGTCCGAATTGGACTAGGGAAGGGGGGGGGGGCGCCCCCCTTTCCTTCTCGCTCTCCTCCTTCCTTTCCCACTCCTAGTCGTGAAGGTAGTTCGGAGTTTATATGTTTTGATGTACCGAAGGTAGTTCGAAGTCCCAGATATGATCATGGAAATGACGAAGAGTCTCAAAATGGTCGAGATATAAAGATTGATATATTGAAAGCCTACATTTGGACATCGGAAGAGTTCCGGGTGAAACCGGGATTTTACCGAAGTGCCGGAGGGGTTACCGGACCCCCCCCCCCGGGGGGGGTTAATGGGCCTTATTGGGCCCTAGTGGAGAGAGAGAGGGGCCGGCCAGGGCAGGCCGCGCGCCCCCTCCCCCTCTGGTCTGAATTGGACTAGGAGAGGGGGGTGGCGCCCCCTTTCCTTCTCCTTCTCCCCCTTCCTTTCCCCCTCCTGGTAGGAGTAGGAAAGAGGGGGATCCTACTCCTACTAGGAGGAGGATTCCTCCTCCTGGCACGCCCTCTAGGCCAGCCGGCCTCCCCCTTTCTCCTTTATATACGGGGGCAGGGGGCACCTCTAGACACACAAGTTGATCATTGATCTCTCTCAGCCGTGTGCGGTGCCCCCCTCCACCATAATCCACCTCAGTCATACTGTAGCGGTGCTTAGGCGAAACCCTGGAACGGTAGTTTCATCAACATCGTCACCACGCCGTCATGTTGACGAAACTCTTCCCCGAGCTCTACTGGATCGTGAGTTCGCGGGACGTCACCGAGATGAATGTGTGCTGAACGCGGAGGTGCCGTACGTTCAGTACTGAGGGTCGGTCAATTGTGAAGACGTACAACTACATCAACCGCATTGTCATAACGCTTCCGCTTAACGGTCTACGAGGGTACGTGGACGACACTCTCCCCTCTCGTTGCTATGCATCACCATGATCTTGCATGTGCGTAGGAGTTTTTTTGAAATTACTACGTTCCCCAACAGTGGCATCCGAGCCAGGTTATTGTGTAGATGTTATATGCACGAGTAGAACACAAGTGAGTTGTGGGCGATACAAATCATACTGCTTACCAGCATGTCATACTTTGGTTCGGCGGTATTGTTGGATGAAGCGGCCCGGACTGACATTACACGTACGCTTACGCGAGACTGGTTCTACCGACGTGCTTTGCACACAGGTGGCTGGCGGGTGTCAGTTTCTCCAACTTTAGTTGAACCAAGTGTGGCTACGCACGGTCCTTGAGAAGGTTAAAACATCACTAACTTGACGAACTATCGTTGTGGTTTTAATGCGTAGGTAAGAACGGTTCTTGCTCAGCCCGTAGCAGCCACATAAAACTTGCAACAACAAAGTAGAGGACGTCTAACTTGTTTTTGCAGGGCATGTTGTGATGTGGTATGGTCAAGACATGATGCTATATTTATTGTATGAGATTATCATGTTTTGTAACAGAGTTATCGGCAACTGGCAGGAGCCATATGATTGTCACTTTATTATATGCAATGCAATCGCCTTATAATTGCTTTACTTTATCACTAAGCGGTAGCGATAGTCGTAGAAGCAATAGTTGGCGAGACGACAATGATGCTACGATGGAGATCAAGGTGTTGCGCCGGTGACGATGGTGATCATGACAGTGCTTTGGAGATGGAGATCAAAGGCACAAGATGATGATGACCATATCATATCACTTATATTGATTGCATGTGATGTTTATCCTTTATGCATCTTATTCTGCTTTGTTTGACGGTAGCATTATAAGATGATCTCTCACTAAATTTCAAGGTAAAAGTGTTCTCCCTGAGTATGCACCGTTGCCAAAGTTCATCGTGCCGAGACACCACGTGATGATCGGGTGTGATAAGCTCAACGTTCATCTACAATGGGTGTAAGACAGTTTTACACACGCAGAATACTCGGGTTAAACTTGGCGAGCCTAGCATATGCAGATATGGCCTCGGAACACTGAGACCGAAAGGTCGAGCGTGAATCATATAGTAGATATGATCAACATAGTGATGTTCACCTTTGAAAACTACTCCATTTCACGTGATGATCGGTTATGGTTTAGTTGATATGGATCACGTGATCACTTAGATGATTAGAGGGATGTCTATCTAAGTGGGAGTTCTTAAGTAATATGATTAATTGAACTTAAATTTATCATGAACTTAGTACCTAATAGTATTTTTTTTTGTCTATGTTATTATAGATAGATGGCCCGTGTTGTTGTTCCATTGAATTTTAATGCATTCCTTGAGAAAGCAAAGTTGAAAGATGATGGTAGCAATTACACGGACTGGGTCCGTAACTTGAGGATTATCCTCATTGCTGCACAGAAGAATTACGTCCTGGAAGCACCGCTGGGTGCCAAACCCGTTGTAGGAGCAACGCCAGATGTTATGAACGTCTGGCAGAGCAAAGCTGATGACTACTCAATAATTCAGTGTGCCATGCTTTACGGCTTAGAACTGGGACTTGAACGTCATTTTGAACGTCATGGAGCATATGAGATGTTCCAAGAGTTGAAGTTAATATTTCAAGCAAATGCCCGGATTGAGATATATGAAGTCTCCAATAAGTTCTACAACTTCAAGATGAAGTAGAATAGTTCTGTCAGTGAACATATATTTAGAATGTCTGGGTACCATAATCACTTGACTCAGCTGGGAGTTAATCTTCCGGTTGATAGTGTTCAATCACTGCCACCAAGCTACAAGAGTTTCGTGATGAACTATAATATGCAAGGGATGGATAAGACGATTCCCGAGCTCTTCGCAATGCTAAAGGCTGCGGAGGTAGAAATCAAGAAGGAGCATCAAGTGTTGATGGTCAACAAGACCACCAGTTTCAAGAAAAAGGGTAAAGGGAAGAAGAAAAGGAACTTCAAGAAGAACGGCAAACAAGTTGCTGCTTAAGAGAAGAAACCCAAGTCTGGACCTAAGCCTGAGACTGAGTGCTTCTACTGCAAAGGGACTGGTCACTGGAAGCGGAACTACCCCAAGTATTTGGTGGATAAGAAGGATGGCAAGGTGAACAAAGGTATATATGATATACATGTTATTGATGTGTACCTTACTAGAGCTCGCAGTAGCACCTGGGTATTTGATACTGATTCTGTTGCTAATATTTGCAACTCAAAATAGGAACTACGAATTAAGCGAAGACTGGCTAAGGACGAGGTGACGATGCGTGTGGGAAATGGTTCCAAAGTCGA